TATATATTCATGATGTCAACTAGTTTCACATTCAACAGCAATGACGCACTGACGCAAGTAACTCAGTACTTATGCATACTTATTGTATAACCATGTATGCCTACATTTGAAGGACAAATAATTAAAGTAGACTGATGGCCTACTGCATGTGTTTACATCTAAATATTCAATCTAAATTGCTTTTACATGTTTTCTGTTAAAGCTAGCTTGTTTTTGGCAGTGTCGAAAAATACAAGTGCCATCAAGACAGGACAAATACGTGATGTACTTGAAGAACTGGAGTGTTCAAAATATGGTCTCAAAATTATTTTGCCTAACAATTTTTACCCTTCCCATATGCCTCAATTTGTTAAACAAAAGGGCAAACCAAAATAAATATGTTAGTAATGCCTTGAATTTACCAGCAAATAATTATTAGACAAGGGTTTCGTTTATAATAATGACCTCAAGCACACCCTCTCATCAACTGCAATTACTTATAATTCATTGACAAGAAAAATTACCACCACACAAACTGTCAATCAATTAATCTGGTGTATTAAGAGTCAAACAACAACAGCTTGTGAATATGCCATTCAGATGAGCTTGTAACAAACAGCCTATATGTGATTTGTTCTTCAGGGAAACCGTTTATATATAGCACTATTACATCATCCGTAACGCATCTAGCTCTGTGATCAATTATATATTTATTCATCAGTCAGTTTAACATTAATTTGATGTTTGACCACAGTAAATGAGACATCTTTTATCAAAAAAGCAACTCTCTTTACCATGCTTTATTCTTTTTTTTTAATGCTGAAAAACAACAAAGGTCCACAAATAGCTTAATCGATCAATAAATAAATAAATAAATATCATCATCAATGTCTTTAACAAACAGACTGTGTCAGAGTAAGTCCACAGAGACCTTTCTTCAGACACTGGAGATAGTATGTACAGTGGAGGTCTACACAGTTCATGTCAGGTATCAGGTAGGATCGCGGCATCGTTGCAGGACTGGCGCCGTTAACACGATGTGAAGGTCTTCCAGAAGAAGTTTTTGCAGGGGGCTTTGCGGTCACGCTGCGGCAGCTGTGATAACCGGTTGTAGACGGCCCGTTCTTCCAGACGGGACTCCAGGGGCTCCTCCACATCCAAGGGGACAGGCGCTATCTCCCCAGCCAGCACGCTGTTGTCTGCTCCATCCAACAGCCCAGAGATCAGCTTCAGGATCAGCTCCTTGTGCTCTTTGCTCAGCTCCTGAAGAGAAAGCAACTGGACTTGAATTAGAATGCAAGATTTTAAAGGCTTCAACTATTCAGAATAATAATAATAATATGGCTGCTATACTAAAATTATCCCAGAATGGTCTCTTTCAGACGCTAAACATCAACATGTGTCTAAAATACAAACACCTGCTTGGTAAATCCATAAAAGCTACAACTGGAAGCACATTTACAGCCACTCACCCTACTTTGTGCCGGGTTCCTCTCCTCCACTGGAAGCACAGCTGCTGCTCTGACACTATACAGCACCAGCAAAAGAGACACTAGGCTGGACAAAAGCTGCATACTGACAAAATAGTTGAAGTTAAAGTGCGCAGAAAGGTTGGTAAGAGAAGCGAAGCAGGAACTTCGAAGTCCTTGTAGCTCCTGGTGTAGAGTAAAGCTGGCGAGATCTTGGTTTTTGAGAGCTTCAGGTGGCAGGGTCCTTATATACCTCTCGTTCCAGTCCCCTACTGACGCTGCGGTTGGAGGATGGAGGGGAGAGGGTGGGGGAGTGGGTGGCTTAGGAACTAACAAAAGCATTGAGTAGTTAACCCCCCAACAAACCAGACGTTGTGCCAGTGGGGAGGACTGCGCCACGACGCTTACGTCATAGCTCTAAAAATGGTCATGATTTCAGTTCAAACGGATGCGAGGCGAAAAAACACTGATGATGACGGAGCTACCGATAACGTGATTCTGAAAAGTTCTGTGGGACGCTCATTGTTTATGCTAATTATGATTTACAATTCTTTAGAGCCAAATGACATGCAGGCAGCGAATCATGTTTTAGGAAGTACGGCGGTCAGACGTATGCTGTAATTACACGCCGTTCTCACTCAGAGCTGCATTGTGATATCAATACAAGGAAATCAAACTAACCCGTTTTGTTGTGTACAGTGGCAATCTGCTCTCATTCCAATGTGTAATTGAGCACAACTCCTCCTCCTTCTCCTTCAGATTGCCATCGAACCGTCTGGCACCTGGAACAGCTGAGAAAACTGTCTTTATGGAGAAAGAAGATGCTTTTGATCCGTAGATGAAAAGAGGCTGAATAACAAGAATTAAGTCTTTTATGAAAATGTAACGGCAGATTTTACCATGGAAGAATATCAAGTGAGACAAATTGAGTCAATACTACAGCAGCAAATCTAATAGAAAAAAGCTAATGAAATATAAAGATGAGTTCGTTTTCATGGAAAATGGTCTCTTGAGGTATAGATTTCTCTTCATTAGTCTGTAAACGCATTATAGACTAATAACTGTTGAACAAATAGAAAACGGATTAAAGAAACATTCCAGGGTTCTATACAAGTTAGTTACCTCGACTGACAGCATTTGACAGATAATACTAATTGTAATTAAAATTAATTTATTAATTTAATTTTAATTGAAAAAGCAAAAAATCTGGGTTTAATCAGTGAGACACAATAGAAGTGAATGGGGGGGGGGGG